TGTTTGAGGTTCATTTAACTTCTTGAATAGTTATCTTCTCTTTCATCATATCATGGAAATTCTCTTCCAACAAATTTCAACCATTGGCAGTTCATAGGTCCATTTGTCTCCTTACCTGCCATTTTCCTTTCTAGTTGTGAGGGACCAGTGCAGTCCTTGCCCATGCAGTCCTTGCCCATGCAGTCCTCTGTGAGCAGAGCCAATTCTCAGCTTGCTATTGGGCAATATTAAAAATGACTGTGCTTCCAGGTCAGCTGACAGTCTGCTATTCCATTTGTCTCCTCATTCACTGTTTTATTCAATTTCTTCTACTAGTTGGTATTTAATCTACTTCTTTATCCTTCCCTTCAAAACTCAGGGTTCCAGGATCATTTCCTTTATTGGTTTCAATTGGTTTCTCATTGATTTGTTGCAGAGGGTCTGTGTAGCCTGTCTGCCTTGATTACCATCTTACTGGAACCTCTGCCTTAGATACATTTTTTAACTTATGAAATTTCAAGTTCATTCTCACTTTGTGCTCAGTAAATCTACAACTATTCATATATTCATAGTCTTGGTTCAAAATATTATTGATAATCTTTAAATCATAAATAGAAATGTTTAATTTATACTATTATATTTATATAGTATAATTGTTGTTGTTGTTATATGCATAGTATAAATATAAGAGGAACCATCTGGGGCCCAATGCTAACTAAATCTCAGGAAGCATGATATAATCTATCATGGCTGCATAATAAACCCAATAAAGGCCTTGGAAGGTGTTCATGAGTGGTGAGAGCCAGCATCTGCTCTCTAGAGATTAAGCACATCCCCTGGCCACATGGAAGCTCTGCACTGAGACCCTTCTCAGACCTTGCTGTGTGTATGTATGTCTGTTTTTTCTTCTAGATTAAAAAGAGCCTTTTCTCTGGACTTTGTGAGTCATTCCAGCAGATTATCCTTAGAAATAGAGAAGGGGCTAGTACCCACTAACCTAGCCCTGTGCATATGGGGATGAAAAAAGTGCTATGTGGAACAGCTGTGGTCTGAACTGACCAGGGAAGGGAGACTGAGATTTTCACAAGACACAGTTGGCATGTGAAATAGGATTTATTATTTGCCACACATTTGGTCCAGAGGTGGGTGATCTCAGTCTCCCTTGACCAGTTTGATGCAATTGGCAGTGAGTTTAGGATTTGCTTGAGTAGTCTTGACTTCTCAAGGTCCAAAGAGTCAATTAATTTTTCAATTCATTTTAAAATGGAGAATATGTTTGTGTGTGCACATGTGTACATGCATGTGTATGTAGTTAACACTCTAACTACTATATTTGATTTTACTTTCACCATTACCCTCATAAGAGAACTATAATAATTTGATAAGAAGTAAAAAAAATGAGAAATGTTTTGAAGCTCTTTTAGATTCTTATTTATCTGCTTGCTTGTCTAAATTTCCAGTAGTTGATTCTGTATGTTGTTGTTGTTTTTTGCTGTCGAGTCGGCCCCGACTCATAGAGACCCCTCCTTGGGTTTCCGAGGCAGTATCATTACGGAAGTAGGATTGCCCAACCTTCCTTCTGAGGAGTGGCTGGTGGGTTTGAACTGCCAGCCTTCTAGTGAGCAGTCAAGTGCCTTAGGCACTATGCTACCAGAGCTATAGAATGTATTATTCATTCTTTAGCAAGTCATTGTACTTATTTTAAGTTCCAGTGGGTTCATCCTCACATAGTGTTGTTCTGGAAAACTGACTTTGCATAAGAAGATGAAAAAAGTCTTGATTTATAATTGTCCATGGGGTATGTGGGTGGCATCCTTCTCTGACTTCTCTAACTTCACAAGGGGGAGATAGAATAATCATTAGCAGCCCAATTCTGATTCCTTTGAGGTGGAAATCAGACATGCTGCTATTTTCCAACCTTCTTACCAATTCTGACACCAACTTTCCTTCCCACAGTGTTCTCTACTTCCTTGCTAGTTTCAATAATTCATTGCAATGGACACACAGAACTCTTGGAAGCATGGGACTGTGTAAGAAAAAGAAGAAAGGGGCATGAGAAGTGAAGCCTTTGATTCTCAAATGGTTACTTTGGTTATTGTTACCTATAATGGCTGAAAGGAATGTAAGAGACATGCTGTAGCTGAGTGGAGAAATGCCTGGGGGCAAGAGCCATGCCAATTAAAGATGATTGTTGCAAGGCCAGGGTCTACTGGTTATGTCCAGCCAGAAACCCATGTCCATATGCTTAGAATTGGAAGATAGTCAAGGAGAAGAGAAGGAATGTTTTAAAGAGGGTTATGTGTTTGTATTATTTATTTATCTGAATGTACTATGGTTATTGAATGTTTATTTTACCAAATTGAATGTTAGAAATGAATATTGGGTATGTATGACAGAGAACATGAGCCTACCTTCAGTCAATTCTTGATTGGATATGGTAAAAGGGGAACTAGGATTTGCCAGGATAAAGACAGGCTTTTTTGTATCAAGCAGTAGTCCTATGTATAGAGTTTTGGGGACTTAATTAAAAAACCTGAGCCCTACACAGAACTTACAGAGTCAGAAAATTTGCATTTGAAAAGACAGGCAGACCCACCCAGAAATGCTGAGAAAACAAGATTTGCAATTGAAAGAAAGACCCCCAGAGGAAAAAAGAAAATGACTGTTTGGATAGAGGTTTGTCTTTGGGTGCATCAAGGCAGGAAAATCATGTCCAATGAGAAGAAATCCTTCCAGGACTGGAAGTTAAAAGAAGCCAGTAAGTGGATAGCCTTATATGCCGCTGGCTTGTGCTGACCACCTGGGTCCACTTGATGAGTAGAAGTGGGCAAAGTGCAGGATTAAGAAATGGACTGGGTTTGGTACCTGTTGACCTAGCCCATGGAGGCTTGAGATGAGAGGAAGGGCTGACTGGTCTGAAGTGCAGGAAGCTGTGTAGACTCCTGAGCCTGTGGGCATTGAGCTAGTCCCTAGGAACTAGGGATGAATTGGGGACATGGGGGAGATGGGAGAGAGAGAGAGAGAGAGAGAGAGAGAGAGAGAGAAGGGACTGGCTGGACTGAAGTGCAAGGAGGTGTGTAACTCCCAAGCTTACAGCTAGTACCCATGACCTAGCTTGGATGGCTAGGGCTGAGCTGACCAGAACCTGATTGAATGATGAGAAAGATGTTTGACACTGAGCTGGTGTAAGTTGCTGCAATTTGATGGCTTGTTCTGGACTGAACTTTGCTTCTTGATGCAGATGATCAAAGTTCCAACTGGAACAGAATATTCTTCAGAGAAAGGAATATGCTTGTCTTCTTAGAGTACTGATTTGATAGGGATGGGCAATTTAGAAATTGGATTTATCAAATGGAGGGTGATAAGGCATATAGTATAGTTGGCTTACACACTTTCATGGGTATGCTTATGGTTAAAATGATTGGGAGGGGGAAGTTGATCTTTCAAGTATGAAAGGGCCAATGACTAGAAGAGCCAGGGAGTGACCTGTGACCCGTGGTGCAGTGGTATATGGCTCTTCTAGTCATGGTCTTTGTGACTTCCACCACATGACTGTGTAGAAACATGCAACTGTAAGGTGCTTGTGGCCTACCAAGGGAATTGGATAGCTTGTTAGTGATGTAAATAAGATCCGTGGCACCCTTGGGGATGGGACCATGGAAATAGGTATATGGAATCCTCGTGTGGAGATTGGTCAGTTTTGTCATTTTGCTAGGCTTAAAATGAGCCCTCCTAGAGGCAGAAGTGGGGGGGGGGATCACTGCCATTGAGAGAAAGAAGTGGGAATGGAGCATGTCCTTACACCCAAGATACCTGTACTGAGATGACGGCCGAGAGATGGCAACAGCAGAACCGAGAGACTGGCATGAGATAGTAGCAAGCTTGCAGGCCCACAGAGTAAGAAAGCTGAGCACCTTTGGGGAGGAAGTTTGCTGAGAGAGTGGGGTGCACCTATTGGCAGAGATAAAAGAGTTTTTATAGCACTTGCCCCAGCAGGGCAGAGGCCAGGGCAAGAGGCCACAGGCCAAAGAGAGGTATGCCTGCAGGCATGGCAGAGGGGAGGCTGTCCTGATCAAAGAATTGTATCCTGAGCATTCCTGAACCTGAATTGTAACCTGATACTTCCCTAATAAACCCCATAATCGTGACTATTATCTGTGTGTTCTGAGTGACCATTTCAATGAATCATTGAACCCAGCAGAGAAGTAGAGAGTGTTGTGGAGGGACAGTTGGTGTCAGATTTGGTAAAGACGTTGAAGGATGGAGGCATGTCTGACTTCATAGGAGTCATCCTTGGGCTGCTGATTGTTACTCTCTCTCCCTCCTGGGGGAAGTTAGAGGAGGTCAGAGGATGCCACCTCCATGCCCCTATGTGCAATAATACTAGCTGATTTTCCCACCATGATGGATTTCAAGCTTTTAAGGGTTTAACAACTGGCTCTGTAAATTCTTGAATATTGAATATTTGGTTCTTGCAACACAGTGTCCAGCCCTAGGGCACTACTATACCTCACTCCATGTCTCAGGTGTTTTCACCATGTTGTTTGGTCTTCTGGAACATTTTCTGTAACAGGGACAGAATTGCTAAAGAACGTGAAAAGTTCTGAATAGCCATTTTAATATTGTTGATATCCTATGCCAAAAAAAAAAAAACAAACTCACTATCGACTCATAGTGACCTCTCCTTGTGTTTCTGAGGCAGTATTCTACGGAAGTAGATTGCCCAATCTTCCTTCCGAGGAGTGGATGGTGTATTTGACTGCCAGCCCTCTGGTTAGCAATCAACTTGCCTTAGGTACTATGTCACCAGAGCTCCCTGATATCCAATGGAAAATTAAAATTTGCATGTATTGTTCTATTTATTGTCTTAGGCTTCACCGATTAAGAATATATTGTGCTGAGTGAAGATAATTTGCAGGACTAAATTGGTTGATAGAATGACTTAATTATAGACATTAGTTTACAGATTTAGTTAGAGGTAGGATTTATACTTTCTAAAAGAAATTTATGGTATCATGCAGTTAAAGGATATCTTAAGGAGAACTGTTGAAGGATTTGTAAAACTCTTCGACCCAAATGACCGAAGAGGGCTGCCAGTATTTAAGATGGAATTGACATTTGATGATGAGAAAATGGGATTTTATCCTACCTTTCAAGATTTGGAAGATGTTGTTTTGGGTTTAGTAGAGCGGATAGCTGAAGCTTTGCAGGTATTATATCATCTTTATTCATTGAGTTTTAAAATATCTCTTTTAGAATTTCCAATTATTTTGAGTTTAATAATTTTTAAGTTTCTATAAAGTATATCTGCATTAAAATGTTATAACCCTTTGTTTTATAACTCCCCCAGGTTATTTTAAGTTATAAAGTACCTTCCATGGAGATGACATTTTCCTTCTTAGAAGTTTTATTATAGTTATGATTTGACATTTTTGTGCATATCTAGTATCTCCTACTGGGTTGTGAGCTTCTTAAGGACAAAATCCAAGTCATGGTTATTCTTTTTAGAGCTCTTTAGTTTAATCACCATTTTATTGTAGATACTCAATATTTATTGAATGATAGTAAAATAACTTAAATTTTATATTAGACTATAAACTGTGCAATTTTAAATCATTATTTTGCATCAACTTGTTTTTTTCTGGGACCATGGAAATCTGAAAAGAATATTTAAAAAATATGGTATAAGATCTCTATTTAGGTCAGTTGCAGAGTTAGATATTTATTTTATAAATTGTCATTTTAATTTTCATTAGAATATCCAAACAATACCTTCTTGGCTAGCAGGAACTTCAGCACCTACAAATCTTGATACAGAACTTCCTGAACACGTGATACACTGGGCTGTTGATAGGCTGAAGATGGCAGTACATCAGAACTTAGAAGGTCCAAAACAACATTATGAGACATATGGTATATATGATACTATAATATTTTTTCTGCCATAAAAGAGTGACATTTTATTTTTACTAGAATTTAGTCAGATGTTTAGTTGTCTGGGCTGGTATAAAAAAGCAGGGAGGACCAGAAGTGAATGTAGGAGTGGTTTTGGCAGAGATATGGATTAAAACCAAGAAATTTGAATTATTTTGTCTGGTCCAAAGGCTGAAATTAAACTGAAGAAGTCTTACAAAGCCACAGGCTAGAAAGGAGAGATTTAAGGGAAGGGAGGAGGCTAAAGCAAGACAATTTCTAATAATAACTTTGAAGAGCCTGAAATTTTATTATAGTTCCTTCAAGTGTATGTAGGATCAGGATGGATTAATTGTTACTTAACATCCTGTTAATCAGAACCTTCTATTAACTGGCCTATCTGTACCGCTAAGTTATTTATGATATTTAGTCTACTACCATTATTTTAAGTCTGTGTTTAACCTGGTTTGGTTGTTAAGGCTATTTTAATTTATTCTTTGAAATATGAACCAAAACCAAACCAAACTCACTGCCATGGAGTCAATTGGACTCATAGCAATGCCTCCTTGTGTTTCCGAGGCAATATCTCTATGGAAGTAGATTGTCCAGTCTTCCTTCCAAGAAGTGGCTGATAGGTGTGAACTACCAGCCTTCTGGTTAGCAGTCAGATGCCTTAGGCACTGTGCCACCAGAGTAATCTATATATGTTAATAAGGAATTCTGGTGGTGCAATGCCTAAGGCATTTGACTACTAACCAGGAGGTTGGCAGTTCAAACCCACCAGGCACTCCATGGAAGGAAGACTGGGCAATCTACTTCCGTAAAGATTTACTGACTCGGAAACCCAATGGGGATCGCTATGAGTTGGAATTGACTTGATGGCAGTGAGTTTGTTTTTTTTATATATGTTAATACTCTATTCATAATAACTTTTAATTGAGTAGGTTATCCCATTCCATGACCACATACAAATAGGCACTTTTAAAAATATTATTGAGATCTTAATTATATTTTTAATTTTTAGTTGAAAAATACAACTGGCTGCTTGATGGAACTGCTGATGAACAGATAGAAATTTTTCAGGCAGCAGATCATACTTTTGATGAATACACAGAGGTAAGTGGTCATTCTGGTTTTTAATTGTTTGTTATTATGAAAAATATATATGTAACAAAACATTTGCCATTTTGACATTCCTCACATGTACAATTCATTGACATTAATTTTGTTCATGGTGTTACTCAACCATCACCGTTATCAGTTTCCGAATTTTTTCATTACTCTTTACAGAAGTTGAGTGTCCCCTAAGCAATGAATCTCTCTTCCCACCTCCTACCTACTCAAGTAACCACTGATAAACTTTGGCCTCTATGTACTTGCGTACCGTAGATGTTTCATATAAATGGAATCATACAGTATTTGTCCTTTTGTAATCAACTTATTTATTCTGACTGTTTTTAACCATGCATATAGCATTAGGAATATCATTCTGGCAGCATTGTAGAAAAAGCAATTGAATGGGAAGAGAGTCCTACCCCCTCAGGAGCCTGGTTTCATTGGTTGAAACTAGGCTTCTGGTTCTTCTCTCTTTCTATAAGATGCTTAAATTTTATTTTTAATGTACAATTATTTTTTTTAAATTTTCTAACATTTTATTATGAAAAGTTTAAACATACAGAAAAATTAAAAGAATTTTACAGAAAACACCACTTAGAATCCAACATTTTATTGTATTTGCTTAGTTACATAATTATCTCTCAGTTCATCCCTCTGTCTATCCATTAATCCATTTTAATTTTTAATTCATTTCAAGAACCATTAGCTTAAAAAACAATTTTACTGAGGGTTCAGTTTATGTACAATAAAATGCACCCATTTAATTGTACAGTTAGATGAGTTTTGACAAATTTATGTACTTGTGTAAATATCACTCACAGTGAAGATAAAGAATGATTTCATTATCTGTGAAAGTCTCCCTGTACCAAATTCCAGTCAATTTAACCCCAGGCCACCACTGATATGCATTTTGTTACTATAGATTAGATTTTTCTTTTCTAAAATTTCCCACCAATGGAATCATGCAATATATACTCTCATATATCTGATATCTTATTAGCATGAAGCTGTTGAGATTTATTTATGTTGCTGCTTTAGTTCACAGGGTCCATTAGTCCTTTGGACATAATTAATTCCTTGTGTCTTTCATATTCTTCATTCTTCTTTGCTCTGGACACAGAGAGACCAAAAGTTGTACCTTAGATGGCTGCTCACAAGCCATCTCTTATTTATTTTATCTTCTATTATGATATATAACAAAAATTTTGCCATAGTAGCCATTTTAAATGTATGATTTCTTTTTTTTTTTTAATTGTGATTTGGGTGAAAGTTTACAGAGCAAATTGGATTTTCATTCAACAATTCATATGCATTTTGTTTTGTGACATTCTTTGCATATCCCACAATGTAACAGCACTCTTCCCCCTTCCTCCCTGTGCTTACCATTTCTTTTCATCCTTCTTTCCTATTCCTTCTTGCCTTGTATTTGCTTAGTTACATAATTATCCCTCCGTTCAAAAGAGCAAATGCTACCCTTTTGATCTCGAATGGTTGATTGTTCTAATGAGTACGTACCTTCCTGCTATTATTGTTTACCTTATCATCTTGTCTATCGTTTAACTGAAAGTTGAGCCATGGAGGGTTTGTTCAGATCTAGACTTGAAGGGTGTGTCTAAGGGCCATCATCTTGGGGATTCCACCAGTCGCTATCAGACCAGTAAACACAGTCTTTTTTTTTTTTTTTTTAATTACTTTGAGTTTTGTTCCATATTTTTCTCCCACTCTATCTGGGATCTCCTACTGTGATCACTTTCAGAGTGGGTCAGCAGTGGTAGCCAGGCACTATCTAGTGTTTCTGGTCTCAGGGTCATGGATGCTAGGGTTCACATGGTCCATTAGTTCTTTGGACTAATTCATTCCTTGGGTCTTTGATATTCTTCACTCTTCTTTGCTCTGGACACAGAGAGACCAAAAGATGTACCTTAGCTGGCTGCTCACAAGCTTCTTGAGTAAGTATTATGCTGACTTTTCTTGATTTCCTTCATAGTTTGTTTTTACCACCATAAACAATTCACATTAGTTTCACTTATTTTAAGTTTATATGAATGATGTAATTTTAAGTTTATACAAGTTTATATCAAAGAAAGTGTTTGTATTCTTTTGTATCTTTCATCATTTACTCATCATTGTGAAATTCATCTATATTTTGCAGATAGTCATAGCTTATTACAGCATAGTATTCTATTGTTTCTAAAGATGTCCTTTCTGTTGTAGATGGACACTTGAGTTGCTTCTAGTATTTTCTTGGCTCTATCCCATTTTTATTTCCATATCCATTAATTAGATCCCAGAAAAACTGAATGTTGGTGCTGGAGAGTAAGAAAATGACTGCCCTCCCTTCTCCAGGGCCATCAGCTCTTATCTATTCTCTATTTGTTTTATCTCCAGGACCAAGCAGTTGCTTAATCTAGTCTTTTCTTAAAAATTGTGATTAAAAAAAATATGTAACAAAATATTTACCAATTCAACAATTTTTACTTGTTCAATTCCATGACAATGGTTAGTCATTATGTTGTGCAGCTATCAGCATTATCCTTTCCCAAATTATTCTACCACCACTCACAGGAACTCAGTGCCCCCTAAACCATGACTCCCTCTCTCTTTCATGCTTGTTAACTACTAATGTGCTTTAACATTAGAAGTTACTAGAGGTGTCTATTCATTTGCCTATTTCATGTTAGTGGAATCATACAATATTTGTCCTGTTGTGACTGACTTATTAAACTCAACATAATGTTTTCGAGGATGTAGCATGTATCAGAACTTCATTTCTCTCTATGCTGAATAATATTCCATTGTGTGTATATACCACATTTTGTTTATCCATTTTGGCTATTTCCACATTTTGTCTATTTTGAATAATGCTGTGTAAATATTGGTGTATAGGTTTCTGTGTGTGTTCCAATATGGCCTTTTAATTAGTTTTTCCTGCTCATTCTTGAACATATGACTCTATTAGTCTGCAGAAAGTTTTAAGCTCAATCCACCAAATATTAGTTGTTGTTGTTGTTAGGTGCTGTCAAGTTGACTCCATCTCATAGCAACCATGTGTATGATAGAATGAAACACTGCCTGGTTCTGCCCAGCCTCACAATACTTGCTATACCTGAGCCCATCATCACAGCCACTGTGTTAATCCATCTCATTCAGGGCCTTCCACCTTTTCGCCGACTCTCCACTTTATCCTTCTCCAGGGAATGGTTCCTTCTGTCTATATAACCAAAGTAGATGAGATGAAGTCTGGCCATTCTTGCTTCCAAGGAGCATTCCAGCTGCATTCTTCCAGGACAGATTTGTTAGTTCTTCTGGCAGTCCATGGTACTTTCAGTATTCTTCCCCAACACCACAACTCAAAAGCATTGACTCTTCTTCGGTCTTCCTTATTCATTGTCCAGCTTTCACTTGCACATGAGGTGATTGAAAATACAATGGCTTGGGTTAAGTGCAACTTAGTCTTCAAAGTGACATGTTTGCTCTTCAGCACTTGAAAGAGGTCTTTTGCAACAGACTTGCCCAGTGCAGTACAATATCTGGTTTCTTGACTGCTGCTTCCATTGGTGGTGATTGTGGATCCAAATTATATGAAATCTTTGAAAACTTCAAGCTTGTCTTCATTTATCATGATGCTGCTTATTGGTCCATTTGTGAGGATTTTCATTTTCTTTATGTTGAGATGTAATCCATACTGCAGACTATAGTCTTTAATCTTCATCAGTAAGTGCTTCAAGTTATCTTCACTTTCAGCAAGCAAGGTTGTGTCATCTGCATATCACAGACTGTTATGTATGACTAAATATTAGAGACTCTAGAAAAAATATAGTAGCCTTGAGTGCTCTCAGGGGAAATGAAAGGAATATAAGGAGTTAAGGGAGAAAAAAAGGAATGTGGCATTTTGGTGGAGGGTGGAAATGGGATAGAGTGGAAAATAGATAAAGGCAACATTAAAGGTGGATTGTGAAATTAAGTCAAAGTTGCCCAAAGTAGGTGGGAACATTTTACTTTCATAAAACGCAAATGCGTATTGTCATATTTTTTCCCACACTACTTTTTAAAATTATCCCAGTATTTGAGTATTTTAGAAGGTGACATAAATTCTGATCTCTTGAATCTTTGGTAATAGAAGAACACATTGTTCCTTTCCTTCTGGTTTATTTTGACCAAAATAAAGTTCCTTACATTTCTTTTCTGAAGATTGAATTAAAATCCTTTGTAAGGCATCAATAATGACACAAGCAAATATTTGTCAGATATACAAATTGTCACATGGAATGGATTTTCTTCCTAAACAAAGAGAAATGATTTGACTTCAGAGATAGTTTTTTGTAACTCTTGGGGAAATTTTACTTTTTGAAGTCTCTAGAATTTGAAGCTATAATGGTGACATATTGGATATTTCCTTGTAAATTGGCAAATTCCTTCATGAAAGGATAATGTGGAAACAAAGATTTAAGTAACAAAGGGAAAATTTTTAGTCACTTAACAGAAAGAAACATTTTTGCATATATATTATATAATTAAAAATTGCAGCACAATAAAATACTATAAAATTACTGATGAATTAGAAAATTCTATTTTAAAATTTTAAATGTTTTATTTGTTTTTTTAAGCTTATAGGTAGATTTTTAAGTCTTGCTTCAGAAATGATGCTTTTGCCACAGTGGGTTCATTTCCCTATGGTGCGTTTGGATTGTGATGATTTAAAGACAGGCCTGATAAATAAAGCAAAAGCCTTTGCAAACATGTTGTTAAATGACATAGCTTCAAAACATAGAAAAGAAAATGAAAGGTAAGTAGAATTAACTGCCAAACTCAGAATTATAAAGCTAAAATATTTATTTTTGGAATATCTGTTTTTTTTTTTCTGGAAAATTCTATCACTTCCAACATAATAACCATATTTTACTATAAACCCATGATATCAAAGTAGCTGAAAATTGTTTAGTTTCCTCCATCTCATTCACACTTTAATTTTCTCGTGTTTAAGTTCCATGTTTGAAATGAGTAACAGCAAAAGGAAGAAATGTGTACCACTCAATAGTACAAGATCATTAAAGAGCAATTTGCTTACTTTGTAGTTTGGTTTAGCATCTGTCTGGGCCACCTTATTCTCAATCATTTTATTTCCCTTTTTTTTATTTGCTGTGTTAGATTTCTCCCCAAGGGACTCAGATTCTATCCTAGAAAGGAGAAAGTGCCCCCAGGAAGATGACCTGTCTTTTTGCATTTTCTGCATAATGCATCCATCCTATAGTTTGATAATCAAGAATTGACTACAAAGCCCTCCATGTTCTGACTCCTGCCTACCTGTACAATTTCATCTTTTGCTTGCTCCCTTGTCTTCATACGTACTTTTGCCATTCCTAGAATGTGTCATGCTTATTGCTACCCCAGGGTCTTTGCTTTACTGTTTTCTTCCTTCCTAGGATGCTCTTTTCCTGATATTTACATGACTCATTTTTTCTTTTCTCACATTAAATATCACCTTCCTACAGAGACTTTCCCTGTTCACTTTATGTAACAGTGACCTTTTCTCCATGCTCCATCATTTCTTATTCCTTTACTTTCCTTTATTTTTCTTCATAGCACTTCCTACTATTATATTGTATATTCATTTGTTTCTGTCTTTCGTCTCAACTTGAATGTGAGCTTTATGAGGACAGGGACTTGATCTTGCTTGCTACTATATCTCCAGTGCTTTTAGAATTTTGCCTAGCACATTGTAGAAACTCAATTGTTTATTAAAAGAATGAATGACTAAATACAATTATTGACTTAATATCAATGAAATACCTGCCTGAACTAAAATTTATTTTTTTAAATCACCTGCCTCTTTTATATTTTGATCTTGTGTAAGATCTTGTGATATTTTTGGTAATAGTATACCATTACAGATATTCAAGGCACAGAAAAATTTCTGTGAAATGTACCTTTAGCTGAATATTGGCTATAGGTGTATATTGAGGTTTATACTTATATGCATAGGATATTTTAAGAGAATAGTATATTTATGAAAAGATATATAAAGTTTGATCTTTTTACTTATTATACTGTCATTTTTCACAAGAAGGACTGATAATAATTGAACTAGTGATTGTATTAATAATTAGTTACCAGTAAATGAGAATTTACTATGTAATGGGCCCTTTACATCCATTATTACAACAACCCAGCAATATAAACGTTGACAGATGAGGAAACTGAACTTCAGAGACTTGCCTAAGGTATTAGCAGCAGCTTGGGCAGGATTTAGATTTAGGGCTGCCTTATCCAAAGGATAAGGAGCCCCAGTGGCACAGTGGTTAAACTACATGATTGCTAACCAGAAGGGCAGCAGTTTGAACCTACTAGTTGCTCCACAGAAGAAAGATGTGGCAGTCTGCTTCCTCAAAGATTTAGGCTTGGAAAGGCTGCCTTGGGGTGGTTCTACTCTGTTCTAAAGAGTACAGAATTCTAAAAGGTTACTAGGAGTCAGAATCAACTTGATGGCAGTGAGTTTGGTTTGGTTTCAGATCCAAAGTATGCTTTACATCACATTACTTATCTGGCTATTCAAGAGGATCAAAGGGTTCACGAGGAAACAAATTTTATATGTGCCATAATTTCATAATAAAATATTTCATTAATTTTACAGTTTTTATAGGTATGTGACTGAGTTACATCAGATAATCTAAGTTTAATTATTTTAAGATATTTTAATGGATTAACCAATTATTTGTAATATATCTCAGTTCTTACTTAATAATAATTATTATAATGCACATTATTGAGTGTGGTATAACATTAATTACCATAGTAGTAAAGTCAAGTCCTATTTCAGTATTTGCGGTGAATTTGAAACAATTAGAGAACATGCATTAAAAGTTCCTGAGACAACAGAAGAGATGATGGAACTGATAAGTTTTGTAGAAAAAGCCCGAACTTCTGGAATTCAAGAGTTGATTTCAAGGATTAAGGTAAGAATCTTTATCTGTCTGTCTGTATCTGTCTATACACACCCACACATATACAAAGGAGCTCTGGTAGCACAGTGGTTAAAGCATTCGGCTGCTAACCAAAACGCTGGCAGTTTGAACCTGCCAGCTGCTCTATGGGAGAAAGATGAGGCAGTCTATTTTTGTAAAGATTTACAGCCTTGGAAACCCTATGGGGTAATTCTCTTCTGTCCTCTAGGGTCGATATGAATTGGAAATCAAGTTCATGGCAGTGGGTTACACACACAGAAACACACACACACAATATGTCTTTTTCATTGTGAAATTTGACATACATAATGAGAATGTGTAAAACACATAGTTAAATATTATAAAGGTTGAAATAAATATTTTTAGCATCTTAAAAGCCCTCTGTGTATTCCTTTCTGATCATACCGTCTTCCCTCCCTCCCTCTCCTAGAGGCTCATACTTGATTTTTACAATATTCACATATTTGTTTCTGTTTAGTTTTACCAACTACATATGCATCATTAAACAACACAGTTTTTTAAAAAAATTATTTTACAGTTTCTACATTTAATGATATGCTTCTGCCTTCCCCAACACAAGATTATATACATATTCATATATATTTTACCTAATTCCTTTATCCAAAAAGGTTTAAACAATGTGAAACATAGCACACATACTGAAAATTGCACAAAACATAATTGTACAATTTAAATTGTTATGAAATGAACACCCAGTAATAAACCCTCCAGGGAAGGAAATACAACTTTATGGACACAATAGAAGTACATCACAATCCCCTACTCTTTTCTTGACAAGAGTACTGTTCTTTCATAATAATAACTTCCTTGCTCTTCCTTATATGTTGTTGTTGTTGTTATGTGCTGTTGAATTGAACCCAACTCATAGCGACCCCTCCTTGGGCTTCCGAGGCAGTATCACTACAGAAGTAGATTGCCTAACCTTCCTTCCGAGAAGTGGCTCGTGGGTTTGAACCACCAGTCTTCTGGTTAGCAGTCAAGTGCCTTAGGCACTATACTACCAGAGCTCCCCTTCCATGTATACATATATATATAT